GACTCTATATTCTGGCAAAGCAGTCCATGTTGCACTTCTTTTCAAAAATCTATTTCTCAAAACGATTTGCCGGATTTGGACTCTTTGGTTCAAGATTGAGGAACCGTGACAATTTGAGAGTCCTGAACTATAGTGAGCCAATACGACAGAACGGGATTCATCCTCCCGGGGCGTTCGGGGACATCGTACAGTCTTCTGGCGACTCTACTGGGGATTTTAGAGAATTGACTCGAGTAATGATATTCTTGTTTTGACTACACTTATGGTTCTTTGCATTGCATGTGCATTGGTGCGCCTAGGACACCGATCATTGGCATCTGCTGTTCACTGAACGGTTTGCCGGAGGCTTGTCTTTTAGGACATGACTATAGGCCTGACCGGTTGCGGGCTCTGCCAGTATGGCGAACAGTAACCCTGGTTTTTACCAGGGCACTCTTTTGACCATTCGACTGTTGCATATTCGAGAATCCATAGTGACCATTCAAGCCTAGGACAAATTGTTACCCGATATGAGGTTTTTTGAAACCGCTGTGTGCGTAGTGAAACCTAGCTCCTGACAAAATTAGACATGGGAAACCCTAACCCTTACATAGGGTGTTTGGCTTCTCACTTATCTGCCATGTGCTTTAGAGTGTTCTCTAGCAGGAATGCGTGTTACAGTTTTAAGTTTGGGCCACCAACTAAGGGTACAAGTATCAGTGTTTGGGAATCAGTTTAATTATGTGTATTAGATTCAGTTTTTTGGACAGGATTTTGGGAGAACACATATCAGCTAGTAGAGTGCAGCCATTCAGCTAATATTTGGTGTCTGTTCTGATTAAGGATTATGCGTGTTTCTCTTTCAGTTCAAGAGATTCATGTACAGAATAGCTAGTGTTTCCATTGCTCGGAGGCAAGACAAATATCTGATCCGTAGTTCACCGTTTCAATTCAGCGGACTAATGATGACGCAAAATTCAGAGGAAATTGTGGTATGCACAGCCGCTTAGACCAATGGATATTTTGCAGGGATGAGACATGTGATGTACCGTATCTGGCTAGTCGCTGCTGCGCGCCGATCTGGAACCCAGATGTTTCAAGTTCGTGACTACCACATTGATTAAGGAATGATGATAGTGATCTCCAGAGATCCGTGGCTTGATCTGGCCTATGGGATGTCGGCTTACCACCAGCACGAACTCATTGCCGAGAAATTCTCCACACGAAGCCCCCCTACTGGGGCGATTTTGATGCGAGCTCAGCAACCAGGTTGCCATTCAGCTAGCAGCCAACGACGTGTACAACAATAATGGCTTTCGCTCTGATGAGTAAAGCCCAAACCATTGACTCAAGCCTGAGCTAGGAGGTCAAGGATAAAGTGAGAGCAAGATGCTGACCTGTTGAGCAACTGCTGTGTGGCAGTCGAGGCTCGAAGAGCCGGGGGGATGAATAAGCAGCAAGTAACTTGATATTCCATGCTAAGGCTGTGGGATGATGCTTGCACAATCCGACGCCGAAAAGGAGCTTCTCGTCCAGGTAGAAATATCGGTGGGGCCCGTCATGCCAAGCACAGTTCCTTTCATTTTCCAACCATGCACTAGGAAAAAGATCAGAAAGCCGAGGCAGTGTCCTCGGACCCTTTTCGCTAGGTATCGTTGGCAAGAACCCTCAGACTTCGAAAGTACTGCTCTTCGAGGGCAGTAGAGCTTTCACGCCTCTACTGCCTTTGTTAGGGCATTTCAAAATCTTGGCTAAAAAGGGCATCTTAAACCCCTTTGAGCTCGGGCCCCTCCCAGAAATCTCCCTCACTCCATTGATGCATCTTTGTGACTGCGCGTACACCAACCAGTCCGAGTCACTGCACCAATGCGTTGTTTCTGCCTTGTCAGGAAGTGCAAATGTGTTATCGTACAATGAGAGGATCCATCCCACTACCTCAGCAAGTCTTGTTACCTGCTGAGCTTGTTGACTTCAGGATACTGCAAGTATGTGATCAGGGTGTGGATCACCTGCGGGCGGCGCTCGCTGCATTTTGGATGTGGCGTCTGCACGCGGCTCTTGAGCATCGGTGAATGCAATTTTTGTGGTTCTGACTTAGATGTTAAGGCCAGTTCAGTGGTCTTGTTTTGAGTCTATCTCGTTGTCTTGAGTCAGTGCCTTTTTGCTTAAAAGGGTCTGTTTTGTTGTTGTCGAGTCAGTCCCACTGTAAAGAATATCAAACACTTTTTTTTCCCTTGCTGCCGGAGCTTCTCTGCTCGAATATTCCACTGCCGCCTTCCTCACCACTGCCCTCTGCACTCCCACCACACTCTCCGCTGCAACAGTGTACGCTCTCCTGCTGCAAAATCATATAAAACCATAGTAACTTTTACAATATCGAAGAGAGAAGGAGAATATTATATTAAATGTTATAACAATGTAATATAATAAGTATGGTAATGAATATAATATAGTATGTATGATAGATAGAATATAAACTCAAGTAGATATACCAACTTGAGTTTAGAGAGAGAAACTAAAACATGAAATAAAACTAAAAATAAAATAAAATATGGATAGATCCGAGGCAAATAGATTGCAAAGTTCAGATGAGAGCACAAGAGCGTTTGAGATAGATCAGAGGTCGGAGCTAATGCTGGGAGTTGGACCATTGTAGAAATAGGGCCGGAGCTAACAAAGTTAATGTTGAGAGACAATTTATAGTCAAGTCAGACCTTTGTAGGAATGGGTATTGAATCAATAAACATGGCACACACAAAACTTATGACGTGATACTAAACGATAATAGCAACAGCTACATCATGCGTGCCAGAAGATGGCTTAGAGAGTGCACCAAATGAAGGCAGCTTAGGGAGTGTGTCAAGGGAGTTGACATTAACAAACAACCCAAAACTATAATAGCAACCAAAAAAAAAAAGCATGGGTGCATGACTGTGCATGTGATCTAGATTTTTACCCTCAAAACAAAAAAATGGGGGCTAACCTGAGAAGGAGAAAGGTGTTAACAGGAACCTTGGCCATAGTGTAGAGATAGGGATAGAGATAGATGTTTAGGGTTTTGAACGTGAAGAGAGTTTGCATATAGAATGTCTTTTTATAGAGGCATACCTTGGGAAACTTGGTGACTACTCCTTGCTATGAAAGGATAAGGAAAAGACTATGGCATGCTCTTCAAAGTATGCATCTTATAACTAAAAAATAAAATAAAATAATTTTATACTTTTTGAGTGATAATTAAAAAAAAGAATCATAACTAAATATTACATGAGGTATAATCAAAAATCTTATGAGTTGTAACTAAAATAATGTCATAATTAAAGAAAAAAAATTAGTCATAACTAAAAAATAACATAATTAAGAGTGAATATGATATACTCCTTTCATGGGATGTACATAATAAAATTTTCCAAAAGGATATATACATTTAGTTTTTTTATTTTTTTTTTAACCATATGATTTTTTTAAGCGTTTATTTATTTATATTTTTAGGCATATGGGGTATCTTAAAAAGTATTTCTAGTTATATTATATTAAATTTAAAAAATCATTCTTATTATTGGGTATCAAATACAGTGCATAGCACCAAAAATAATAATAAATGAATAAATAAAATTTTTGTTTATGCTAGAACTGAAGTCCAGCATCTTGTATCCACCGAGACGATCAATATTATCTATAGTACGAGAAAACGAATTTTCTTATCTATGACTACTTGTTGAAGGATTATGTATTTAGGATTTGTGTGTGTATGTGTGTGTGGCTAAAGGGTACAGTTGAGTCTATTTTGATAATTTGAACCGTTCAACTTATATGATTTATGGAGCAAATCATTTATGTATAAAATCAAATTAATCGAATATTAATAATTACATGATTAAAACATATTTGTTTTGAGAAAATAGAAAGCATGTATGAATTCAAGAATAGACCGTTTGATTTTAAAACAAATGTCATCTAGTCAAGTGACTATTAATATTCGACAAACTTAATTTTTAAGTGAATGATCTTTTAACAAATCCTACAAAATGAATGATTTGAATCATGAAAATGGGCTGAGAGTGGATCCACGTTGTCCGGACTCTACAATCCAATTAATGGATGGGAGGGAAGTGTACATCTCTTTCTTTTTTTCTTTTTTTAAAAATTGTGATTTTTTTAAGCGTTTTTCTAATAATAATAATAATTAATGTTATTTGTTTGAGGCACATGTGGTGTCTTAAGAGAATTTCTAGGTATGATATTACATCTAAAAATCATTCTTATTATTGGGGTATCGGACACAGTGGATGATACAAAAAAATATCCTATTATATGCTAGAGCTGAAGTCCATCATCATCCTATATAAGCACTAATATGATCAAGATTATCAAGAGGCTAACTAAAAAGAATTTTCTTATCTATGAATGAGGGTTCTGAAATTCATCAATGTGATTTCAAATAATGGTATAGAGATATATATCAATATGGATGATATAACTATATTAATTTGGTCATTTCGTCTAATTTTGTTTGTATATATAGTTTAGAAAATTGAAAGTGTCTCAAAAATGTTAATTTAAACCTTTAATTTGGTCGGAAGGATCAAACTAAAAGTGTACTTAAAGTGTAAGAATCAAATTATTTAATTTAAAATGATACGAACTAAATTAAAATTTAGATCAAAGTACAAGAATGAAAATTGTAATTAACCTAAATTCTTATGATTAATTATTGATCACAGTTGGTTTTGTATGCATAAATCTTTTTATTTATTTTTTATAACAAATATGATTCATTTATTTTTATTTTTATTTTTTGAAAAAACTGAGATATCTCGTATATACATGTGTATCACACACATACATACACACACATAACATAATTCCATGCGAGATTATTTCATACTAGTGTGAAAACATGTGTTTGGATAGAAATTAGTGTGTGCTTTCTTTTTCTTTTCGTCCTTTTCAAGTTTCCTAAACTTTTCTAACAGCATCTTTAATGCAATAGTTAAAACTGTGTAACCAAATGTGTTTAACAGACACATAGTAACAAAATTAGAACCTAATTTTGTGTTAGATGCTTGCTAATTTAGATAGTGAATGTGTGCTTCAATAGTGTAAGTAAGTAGTAATTATATATGGAAAAAGAATTCCCCCAAAAATACAATAACATTACGCACCAAAAAAGTTTGCACTTAATAATATCTAAAAAATAATCTTGTGATTGAGATTCATTTCAAGTATGAGGTGTAGATGGACTGTTAAGATCGGTGTTTTGAGTGTTGAGGGTGATTTGTATTTCCTTTGTTTGTTTGTTCGGTTGGTTTCTCTTCAACCTTGGTGTAATGTTAGTAGATGATTGACTTACTTTCCGGTCCCAACCTAATTGGAATCGTCTAGTTTACTTTGATGTTTTGGCACTGGTCTTCTTTTATTGATGTTCATCTTTGTATTCTATACATCTGATTTTTATCAATAAAAATTTTTTACTGATAAAAAAAAAAAAAAATGGGTCCACAGCACGAGAGTAAAATCTATACCACAAGTGAATTTTCTGAGTAAGAATCTGGGTAAACTTTGTGGATGAATAGTTTTTCCACAAATATCTATATATACATACACCAAAGTAGTGTGATCACACCAATTTTCTCTCTCTCCCTTTCTTCCTTGCATTTAGTGATGCTGCTGCGCGGATTGCACAGCAGCAACTGTTGTGTGTCAAAATGGGCCCATTTCGAGACCTATTTTGATAATCCGAACAGTTCACATTTTAGAATACATCAAGTAAAACATGTCTACAAAAAATCAAGTTAATCGGATATCGTTTACTCATTCATCTATTCACATTTGCATCTATAAAAATAAATAATAATTGTAAATTAAAGTATTAAAATGAATACAAATGTGAGTGGATGAATTGGTAAACGATGTCCGATTAAATTAATTTTTTGCAGGCATTTTCTACTTGATATATTCTAAAATGTGAACGGTTCGGATTATCAAAATGAACCTGAAATGAGCCCATTTTGTCGCACAACAGTTGCTGCTGCTGCGCAGATTGCGCAGCAGCATCACTAAATCCCAAACACACTCATTGAAGACAAAAAAAAAAAAAAAAAAAAGGTTAGTTTGTTAACTGTGTTAATGGAGGACACTAATGAACATTTAGATATATAGTTTTCAATAAAATAGAAAAATTAAGTAAAGAAAAACGAAAAAAGGAAAAGAGTAACCACATCAATGGTCTTGATCTTTTATGAAAAAAAAGTATGAGTAGTGCTGGCAATGGAGACAATAGGCAGTTTTTTTTTTTGAAAAAAAGGCTTTTGGATTTGATAAGGGTGTTTTTTAAAAGTGAGAATCTACATTGTCAAAGGATAACTACATAGGAGTCTTTAGGGCTAGACGTTAAGGAGTTGAACCTTCAAAAATCGCCCTTAAATTGTATACACATAGCTGGGCTACTTAATCATGTAGTAATGAATTGTAGACTCACATATAGATAAAGATTTGAACCCACACTCCTGATACTCAGGGATAAAATTAGGAGAAATTTATGGAGGATACTGGATATGGGATTTGCCTATATCTGGAACGTTCATACTATCAACCATATATGTGTTACCATCCGAATAGCTGACTGACTCAAAAAAAAATAAAATCTAAAATCTTAAGACTTATACATTAAAGCCTTACTAAATTGTCACCGCCCCTCAGCTGAGAATCTACATTGTTGACCGTAAACCCATACATTTTAGGTCATTATTCTCACTAGCACAATTGCATTGCTTACACATCGCATTATGGAATAATTCCAATTGTTTATTACTTTTATTTAGGTAAATGTCGGCTTTATTCTTTTGCTTACAATCCATGTTTTGCATCATCAAGTTGTGGTCACAATAGTCCCCTCTTTTTTTTGCCCCTTAGGATGTGGATCGGGTCGGGTATATTTTATGCCATCTACTGGATGGCCCACCCAACTTGACTATTATAGATTATAGGCCGCCTGAGTGGTTGGATTCAAGCCCAGAACTTACCTCTTTTTTGGGGGGACGAGGCTCTCTCTATATAAGATATTATCACGTAAATTTGGAACATTATATTATCGTACGTGTGCCCATCTAATTTTGTTTTGTAATTTGTACATCATGATGCTCTTTGTTTTTCAAATTGTGTAAGTATTTAGGCCTTTGTTATTGGGCGAATACACAACTAATGTGTAGGTCTAGCTCAATTATTGTTGAATCCTAAAACGAAACTTCAATTAGAGGCTTTTCTTATTTTAAAATAAAATGTATAGTTTTTTTATGTTGTGTAAAACTCTATAAATTTGTAACTAAAATTTTAAGGGATTTATCTGTAATGAGATTTTTATCAGCCGGTCCTAATAATTGAGTCTATTATTCATTAGGTCTTAAGTTTCTATCTCATACACTAAGAAGTCCTATTATATTTTTTTTATCCCCATTTTGCTTCTGCTACCAGCTGGTAAAAATTCCTATTTAAATCATCTCAAACACTTTCTAAAACTTTAATTGTTTATAATATTTATTACTCATTAATTTTTTCAATTTGTATTAACTTCTCTCTTGATCATTTTTTCAAAACTCTTCTTTCTCATCTCTCTCTCTCTCTCTCTCTCTGTATGTAGAAAATACCACCACTGTAACTATGGCCATGGCCATGGCCATAGCCATCTACCTACAACCACTATTGTCGTCCGTCACTAACTACTACCACCTCCACCGGTCACTACCACCACCTTCGCCGGCCACTACCACCACTATTGTTCACTAACCATCTCCACTGTCGTTGATCTATATTGCACCATCTCTCAACTGTTTGACTCGCTTGCCTAACATTGTTGTCTTTCTTCCTCCTTACTATTATCATCGCTCTTCCTTCATCCTCCATCCTTCATCTGGCATGTGACGACCCCACCTCGTATAATATTTTATATTTGATTAATTACGGAGATTTGGATTTTAATTAGTTATTACCTTGATTTAAATTGGAAATTATGAGAACTATAGAATCTGATTCGTATATGATTCTATTGAAGATTTGTTTTGGAATTAGAAATTAAGGGTCCAAATGGGTTAAGGAAGTGAAATTAAGAAGTTGAATCAATTTAATTTTAATTATGGACCCATTTGGGAGTTTAATTAAATATTCGATTCACTTTAGTAAAATTAAGATTCGATTAATTAGGTCCAAATTGGAGGTAATTAAGTTAATTAAATTATAAGGATAGAGAATTGTGATTATTACGAATTAAATCTATTTTTGAGATATCCAATTTGAATATGTGATTTATTGACGAAAATTTTGAGTTTAATCAGGAATTGAAGGCCTAAATGATTTGAAAAACAAAAATTGATGATGTCAATAAGATTAATTTGATATTTGGAGCTTTTTGAAAATTGATTAAAAAATCTTATTCAGAATGATAAATTTAAATATAATTAATTGGGCTATAATGGAAGTCAAATTAAATTGATTAAATTATGTGAGATTTCTGATTGGTTATAATTAATTTAATCATGGGCCAACCAAGATTTAATAAGATTAAATGATGCTTAATTAAATTAGAAAGTGATTTATGTACTCAATTATTCCTACTCAATTAACTTGATGGGGCCAAACTGAGAAGAATTGAGAAAGTGGTGTGTGTGTGTGTGCGCGCGCGCGCGCGCGCACCGTATATCCCTCTGCTGGAGCCTATTCAACTATTTGACACTCCTATCCAATTCCTTGACATTCTGATAAAGAGAGAAACAAGAGAGGGAGAGGGAGAAAACCGTAAGAAGAACGAAGAAGAGAAGAAAAAGAATTCAAGTTTTGTGCTGAAATTGAAGGAAGAACTTAAGAGACTCAACAAATTAAAGTTCTAGGTAAGAAAGTTTAAGCTTGATTCTTATAGATTAATCATTTAGTAATTGAAATCAAGGGGTAATTGGGTTTAATTTCATGACATAAGAAAAGAATGTAAAAGATTTGAGTTTAGTTTAATAATTAAGAAATTGATGTTGTGATTTAATATTTGGGTTTGATTTTCTTCAATCTTCACATATTTTTAGTTTATCCTTACATGCATTGTGAATTTTCAAGATTTTAGAATTTAATTCATATTTTAAAGTTTGTGAGCTTGAGATTAAGTTGTGATATAAATTAAGAAGTCAAATTATAAATTAATTGAGGGTGGATTTGAGAGAATTAAAATAGAAAGTTGAGGATTAATTATACAAATTCATAGAAATTGAGTCTTGCATGTTTAATCAAGTTAGGTTGAAAATATGAGTTATGGTTCTTTAAATTTGTGTTATGTTTGAGTTTAATTTTGAGAATCATTCATAAATTGAGTTCTATAAATTACATGCAATAAGAAATATTTGAAGATTGGATCCATGCAATGGAATATATATAAATGACTTTGAAGAAAAAGTTATAAAAATCATGAGTTCATGAAATTTTAGAGTTGATTTTGGAATTAAAGGAAGTTTTGATTTTATTATGAAAACTAGGAATTTGTTTAATCCATGCATGTGATTTAATTTAAAAGGTTTATTCAATTTAAGCACATTTTAGAACATCTATGATTATAAATTAAGTTTTTGGTTAAAAATTGAGTTAAGTTGAATTTCTAAGGAATTGATTTTGTAATTCATTGGTTAAGTTTGATTTTGTTATTAATAATGGACTTGGGTTCTATTTTTACATACGTCATGAAATTTTCAAGGGTTTGGAAAGTCTAATTCATATTTTAAAATTGTGGGTTTGATATAAAAAAAATAAATTAAATCTAAATTTGGACAATTAGAGCATGATTTTGCAAAAGAAGGAGTTTTGGTCCAAATAGGACAGATTTTTCCTTTTTCTAATTTATGCGCCTTCATTTACATGATTTTCAGGTGTCATACACATCCATATGCATATTATAAAGCATGAAAGAAATTAAAGAAAGAATAGAAACAACCGAATGAACAAGTAACGGATAAACCAAAGAAGGTTAAGAATCGACTGATTGACTTGAATGTATATTGAGAAATTGTGCTATGAATATTTGTGTTTGTAGGTCAAGACTCGAAGACCGAACAACGGGTATTGGAAGGCCACTGTGAGTAACATTTCTGTGAAGATATGTTGATATGAACTATGTTTCCACTATTATGCGATAAGTTATAATTTCTGAAATGCTATTTTGATTATGTCAACGAATGTCCTAATTGCGAATCTATTATGGCATCCACAGATAGTCCCAAGTCATGGGGGATGGCATGTAAATACGGGTCCATGACATATATGTGATATGAGATCTCGTTAGCCACTTCATTGTGGTGATATGTGTTTAATCGGTATCTGGAACCGATTATTCTAGTCGGAGGACGATATATGATATGTTCTGTGAGACGTACCATTACGTTATGTTCTGATATGAGACTGCTATGATTGATTGTGATATGATTTGTTTTACGGATATTGTATTTAGAATTCGTTTACTAACCCCTTTACGTTAATGTTATTCATTGGGCTTTAGCTCATTGTTTTTATATATATATGTATAGGTGAGCATTCTGGAAGGCAAGCCTAGAAGGGGTATTTAGTTGAGCCACAGTTTTGAAGCCTACCAAGTTGTTTTGTGTGCCTCTGATTTGGGGCTAGGCCTGGAAGGCCGTTGTTAGGCTTTTGATCGTGATGTACACTTTTGTTATGTGCATGTGTTATGTATAAGATGTTAAGTTATAAGTTATGTACTGAATGTAGGTAAATTAACGTCGTTGCATGTAAATATTTGTTCATATAGATGCACAACTCATTGGACAATTGGTGTTTTTGAATATTGCTTCCGCTAGCCCCGATTATTTTTTATTGTACAAGAAGGCCTTTGGTAATCTCAGATTACTGGCCGGTTACGACATTAAACCTATAGGGGCGGGTTTGGGTCGTGACAGACATCATCGTCATTCTTTTTCAATCATCAATCCACCATCTTTAACGTCGAACTTCACCAATGGCTTCAAATCTAGTTCTTTCAATGCCAATCTACCATCTTCGACGTCGATCTGGTACTTTACATGGTCGCTGATGAGACTGAGACTCTTTCTATAGTGCGTTGGTGAAGATCTACATTTGTAAAACATGTTGAACTAATCTGATGAATTTATCACTTAATTCAGTGATAAATTTATCATTGATTTATTTAATATGTTCTGGACTGCTTCTGCTGAAATTTTGATATTAATACACTGATAAATTTATCATTGATTTTTTTCATGTTATATTTATCATCTCTCTCTTCCTCACTGATTAAGGTTGAATTGTGCAACATTGAGACCGTTAATTAGGATCTCTTAACTTTACTTACTTGTCAAACTGTATACTTTATGTGTGTTTAATGTCAATCAGGTTGTACATAGTCGGAGCATAAAATGGGCAAAAAGGCAGAATTTGGAGTGAAAATGGATTCTTGCACGTACGTTGACTTTTCTAGGAAAACGTGCCTGATGTTTTAAACCTGTTTGGAAGAGAGCAGAAGTATAAATAGGCAAGAAAAAGGCTGGATTAGGGTTCTGAAATCATTTTTAGAAAAGTAAGAGAGGCTAGGGTTCCAAAAAGGGAATTCTCTCCAAAAAGCTTGAAGGACACTTCCATGGGGTTTTCATCCTCATCTTCTTCCTCTTCCCACTCCTTCATGAGTGGCTAGTCGTCTTTTCTAGGGCTTTGATGAAACCCTAGCCATGTAATTAGTTTTTCTTTTTAATTTTTAATTATGTAAAGGTTTGAACAATTGTATGGTGTTTTAGAAGTTTTATATATACACTTTCTATTATTTCTTCAAATATTCAACTTTCTGTGATTGTTGAATGTTTTCCATACAAGAGTTTTCTATTCTTTCACATTCAAGGTATGAGACGAACCATACTACGAGGGACGAGTCGTGTTACTACCCTAGTTTAGAGTGAACGATTCGTACTATTTGAGATGGTTCGTACTCATACATTGAATGTGATGATTTTCTTGTTAAATGCTTTGAACTTGTAGTTGCGAAGCATTATTCCGTTCGAACCATAACATAATTGATTTAAATTGGAAACCCTATTTACGTAACTAGTGGTGGACTCTTTGCCCTAGATTTTTCCCCAAATTAGTAAATCCAATTTTATTTATAATCGATAATTTACTTACTTAGTTTAATTTATTTGTTATTAAATTAGGTTATGAAAAATCAATCTTTTCATCAAAATTAGTTTAGGAATTTAACAATTAAATTAATTTAATTTCACAATTGCCCCTGTGGATCGATACCTGGACTTGCCATTATTCTAAAAGAATTTGGTATAGTTTTGTGTTTAATTTTGGTGTGTTCAACGACCCATCAAATTTTGGCGCCATTGCCGGGGACTTCTGGCGAAATTAATTAATTTAAAGTTATATTCTTATTTTAATTTTTAGTTTAGGATTTTATGCTTTCGTGTTACTAAGTGTGCAGAGCGTTTGGAAGTGGAACTATCACCAAAGTGCAAGTGGAGCGCAACCGAGCTTTAAAAAAAAAAAAAAACCGCAGCACTAAAGTGCTTAAACAGAAGCAAACACTCGCAAGCAAAACACCAAAGTGCTAAAAAGAAAAACTCTACTCAATTAGAGGTTGGAGACAACGTCTACACGTCAAGCACCCGCAAGACGAGTAAAGCATTTTCATTAAACCGTTGTGAGTATTTCTCCCTTTGGTATTTTGCTTTCGTAACACAGAGTCGGAACTTTTTGTGTGTGTGTGTGGGTAGTGTATGCACGGGCGCCGTTCTTGTCGCCCTGAATTGTGGAGTTTGGACCTTGAATTAGAAAGGACTCTTAGGAGACTTAGAGCCTCTACCCATGTTCCTAGGCTTGAATATTCATATTCATACATTGAGCCATTAGAGATGGAAGATCCAAATGTCCCAAATGTGCCCAACCGGACCCTTAAGGGTTATTTCACACCCATTGCATATACATCACCATTATGCATCCAATTACCCAACACCACTGTTGCTCATTATGAGATTAAGTTCAGCACCATACAAATGCTCCCATCATTCCATGGACTAGCTCATGATGATCCTTACAAACATTTGAATGAATTTTTGAAAATTTGCTCAACAGTGAAGATCCAGAATTTCACAAATGAGGCCTTAATGTTACGATTGTTTTCATTCCCATTAAAGGATAAAGCCAAACACTGGCTGAATTCATTACCTGCTAATTTAATCACAACTTGGGACCAATTACAGTAATGATTCTTGGAGAAGTACTTTCCCATAGGTAAAACCAACCAACTTAGGCGAGCTATCACCAATTTTGCTCAAATGGATGGCGAGCAATTCCATGAGACGTGGGAAAGACTTCGAGACCTTCTCCAACAGTGTCCCCACCCCCAAGTGTCTGATTGACAACTTGTTCAAACATTCTATTATGGCTTAACTGAGCTGCACTGCCAAATGGTGGATTCATCTTATGGTGGGACATTTATGTCCAAAAATGATGCCGAGGCATGGCAATTGTTTGAGAACCTAAGTGATAATTCCCTTCACTATGCCTCCGTAGCCCGGCAAGTCCAGCAACTAGTAGTTGGAGCCCCAAAAAAAGGGGGCATTTATGAGGTTGGGCAAAACCTAGAGTTAGCCCAACAAGTAGAGGCATTGTCTCACAAAGTTGACCAATTATTAGCTGCAGGACATGCCCCTACATAGCAAGATCAGCCTCAATTTCACGAGGCATGTGCTATACGTGCGAGCCCTGCTCATGACTTGAGTGAGTGCCCTTCGGCATCACAATTTCCGGAGTTAGTCCAAGAGCATGTGAATGCGGCTCAAGAATTCTCAGACCCGGGTCATGACCCATATTCCAATACCTATAACCCCGGATATAGAAATCACCCTAATTTTTCATGGAGACCTCATTCACAAGGCACTTCTTACAATCCGCCACCACCAAGGTAGAATTTTAATAATTTTGCCAACCAATCATCCTACCGACCACCGCAAGCTTATCGACCCCCGCAACCGTACAAGCAACTGTAACCCCTGCCTGTTCCTCAAGGCAACTCGGCCTTTGAGGCTCAGGTATTATAAGTTCTCTCAAAACTTAAGGGGTTAGCACCAGTAGTTCACTCCTATACTCACTCCATTGCTAAGCTAGAGAACCAATTGGGTCAAATGGCTAACGACATGAACAGAAGAGAGGAGGGAAAATTACCGAGTCAAACTGTGGCCAACCCTAAGGGACAATACGGGGTAGAGAGTTCGGGTGGGAATGGAAAGCATCATGAGCAGGTACAAGCAGTGATCACTTTGAGAAGTGGGAGGGAGTTAAAGCCTCAATTAGATGCGTCTGATGCAACTAGAGCTAAGAATGGTGACCACGGTGGTTCACCTAATGAGAGAAAAGGTGAGGGGGAAACAATTAAGAGAGATGACTTAATCCCTAGCACTTCACATGAGCCCAAGGCACCATATGTGCCTATGGCACCCTTTCCCCAATGCCTTGATATACCGTCCCCTTTTAATAAAAATACGGTATCCATGGAAGCAATGATGGAAGTTTTTAAACAAGTAAAAATCAACCTCTCCCTGTTGGAGGTGATTAAGCAAGTACCCTCCTATGCTAAATTTCTGAAGGACCTTTGTACATAAAAACGTAAATCTAGGACACACGTGTCGCAAAAGGTCCTACTCACGGAGCAAGTAAGCTCCATCTTGTTGAATGACACACCTTCTAAGCTTAAGGACCCAGGTGCCCCAACCATTGCATGCATTATAGGGGACCATTTCATTGATAGGGCCTTATTAGATTTAGGGGCTAGTGTCAATTTGTTGCCGTACTCTGTGTACGAGGAATTTGGGCTTGGCGAGTTGAAGCCCATTACTGTTACTCTCCAGTTGGTTGACCGATCTCTCAAAGTGCCACGTGGCATAATTGAGGATGTGCTGGTAAAGGTTGATAGGTTTTATTTTCCTGTTGACTTTTTGGTGTTAGATATGGAACCGGTAGCTAGTTCTAGGAAACAAATCCCGGTGATCTTAGGTCGACCTTTCTTGGCTACGGCCAATGCATGCATTAATTGTCGTACCGAGGTTATGAAAGTTTCATTTGGTAACATGCAAGTGAAACTTAATGTTTTCTAAACATCCCAACAACCCCATGAGAGAGAGGAGTGCTTATTTGTGGATGTTGTGGATGGGATTGTGGAGGAAACTTTACCCTCCATTCTTGTAGAGGACCCTCTAGAGGCTTGTCTAGCTCATTTTGGGTTTGAAAATTTTGATATTGACGGGTCGGTTGAGGAGGTGAATGTCTTGCTTAATGCTTCGTCTACACCAAATTTTCCTCCGTGAAAAGCCCGATTTGAGTCACTTTCTCCTCTATCGAGAGAGCCCGCCATACCATCTTTGGTTACACCACCTACACTTGAGTTGAAGCCACTCTCGGCCACACTCAAGTATGCATTTTTAGGGTCCCAGGATACTTTACCAGTCATCATTGCATCTGACTTGACTACAGAGCAGGAGAGTCAATTAATGAGTGTTCTCGTGGCACATCGGAGTGCTATAGGGTGGTCAGTGGCTAATTTGAAATGGATAGATCCCTCCGTGTGCATGCATTATATACACCTAGAGGAGGACACCAAACCTTCTCATGAAATACAACGGAGACTTAATTCCAATATGAAAGAGGTGGTGAAAATTAAGGTATTGAAATTGTTGGATACGGGTATTATATACCCCATCTCGGATAGCAAGTGGGTGAGTCCCA